AGAAGACGATGCGTTATTGTTTTCTGTGTAATCAAATAGACGTTGTAAAATAACCGACATGTTCTTGTAGTCATAAAATACGAAGTTTTCTATTGAAACGGTCCTGCAAAGGAGATAAATCTCATATAATTGTAAGCTTTTTTGCTATTTTGAGTATATATTACAATGCGTTTACCAAGATTCTTTGTAAAAAGAAAATATATCACAGTTTTTTTAAAAATTTTTCTTTATCCCGTGATTTCAAGTTTGTTTTTTAAGTGCTTTGAATATCACCACCAATATAGAAGGCAATTTTTCAGAGTAGTTTGGAAATTGAACATTATTCAAAGTGTGTAAATTCATGTATAGCAATTACTACCAATTCAGTGTATTTTCCTATGAAGATAATTTTGAAAGTAATTTAAAATCTTTTACATAGTTAAGAGAGATCAAACCTACCTATTCTTGTTCATCTTGCATGTTTGCTGATCTGTTGTCATATTTGTTTATATATTATATATTCAAGTAAAGGTCTCATTTTAATTGGCTGTCTGGAACCTTTGTTTCTTGAAAATATCCACGGAGTCAGAAACATTGCGCATGTCATATACATGTATTGTTGAAAATAAGTGAAAACTCAGTAATGATCTTTAATTATTCAATCAGACATTGTGGTATTTAATTTTCTCCTGTTATTTCCTATTACACGAACATTATGAAACTACTGTTTGAATTATTGAGTCACGTGCACAATGGTATACTTTGAATTTTCAAAATTACTACCTGAGTAAATATTCCAACCTGTAGTTTCGAATGAAGTTCGTTTTACTCAACAATCTTAGTAAACAAGTGATCAGCAGTTTTTTTGGAAATGAAGACGACCAGGAAAAGCTCATTGCAACGCAAGATAATTAAAATTACGTTTATCTAGCGAGTTTATCGAGTAAAAATTGTTTATACTTGCTTTTATGCATGTACGAAAATACATCTCTGCGAGCAGTCTGATAGAAAAAAAAATTATAATATATTGATTATGAATACCAGTATAACATGTATGACGATTCTTTCAGCTTGCAATGAGAGGAAAATCATTTTTTATAAACATACCAAAAGTTACCTTAAAAAATTGAATCAATCTTAATACTGTTAATCACTTTTTATTCGCGAGAACTTTATTTTCGCGTAATTACGCGAAACAGCGAGCTCGCGAAAATTTCATTCTCGCGTGTAATAGTATTCCGAAATCTTACATAGAGGAATATCCACAATTCGTGAAAATTATGTCTCGCTAATAAAGAGTCAATGACTATCTCGCGAGAATAAGGTGTCGCGAAAATAAGGTGATCTACAGTAGACAAAAAGAAATCTTGTACCCTGCATCTCTCATAAAATTTGTATTGTATAACAATTTTATAATTTTGAGAATAAAAAGAAAGAGTCAATGTAAATTACATTATGATAACAAGAGAACGATGGACCACATCGCTCGCCTTAGCATATCAGCTAGGATCCAAAAGTCTCTGTTTGAGACTGTAGATCTACTGGTTTGTACAAAAAAGAAAGAGAAAAGAAGCAGTTGGGACATGAAACTTTTCAACAGCAATAAATAAAATAATGATCCTTGATTAATTCTTTTTGTGGCAACACTGCAATAAGACAACAACTGTAAGAGTAGCTTTTAATTTTTACAGAATTTTCAATTTTAATTACCACGTCAACATCATTCATCAAAAAACAAATAAGACAATTATGTATATCAGTGTAGTCTACATGCATGTAAATATTTTAATCAGACTAAAACTGTATTTGGAGTAGCATTTTTTAAAGTATTTCACGTAATTTTCTATTGTTTAGTAACCATGGCAACACCCGTCATCGAAATCAAAAACCGATAAACAGAATTATGTATCTTTGCGTAGTCTAATTGTGTAGCTAAATTATATTGAAATCAGATGAAAACTGTAGGAGGAGTAGCATTTTGAAAATATTACACAGACATTTCTATTTTTAGTAACCAGGGCAGCACCGTCCATTAAAATCAAAAACCGGGAAAAAAATGTATCTTGGTGTTGTCTAATTGTGTGCCAAGTTATATTGAAATCGAATGAAAACTGTAAGAGGAGTAGCATTTTGAAAGTATTTCACAGAAATTTGTCTTTAGAAACCACGGCAACAACAGTCATCGAAATCAAAAACCGATACACAGAATTATGTACTCTAAAGTCGACATCAAAAAGATGCTTGATTTTCTGATTGACAATATCTAAGTGGTGTTTGGAGACCAGGTCTTCCAACAATCTATTGGAATTCCATTGGGTACCAATTGCGCCCCGTTACTAGCAGACCTATTTTTGTATTCATATGAAGCACAATTTGTGCAAAACCTTATGTGTGAAAAGAATAAAACACTTGTTGTGGCCTTCAACTCGACATTTAGATAAATCGACGACGTACTTCCAATTAACAACGGTAATTTCCATTCTGATGTCGGTACGATATATCCTGGTGAGCTTGAGATAAAAGATACCACAGAGTCTGAAACATCTGTTTAATATTTAAATATTTTCGTTGAAAAAGACGTTAGTGGTAATCTAACAACCAAGCTCTATGATAAACGTGATGACTTGAACTTTTCTACCGTCTATTTCCCTTACTTATGCAGCAATATACCTTCATCACCTGTATACGGAGTTTACATATCTCAGTTGATTAGATATCATTGAGTCAAATGCTGACAGACGTTTTTTCATACTAATTGTTAGTCCATTATTTATACAAGGAAGTGACGACGGGTTTTTCCCGTAACTTCCCGATTATAACAATGAACACACGGCGGGAGTGACCGGACGGCAGGGGATGCTCACTCCTCCATGGTACCTGATCCAACCTCTAATATTTTGGAGGTCCGAGTTTGCTCTGCTCCTATTTTATATTGTTTCATGAACTTTTGATCTGGGGTATTGTTCGTTATTTCCATATGTTTAATTTAGTCTACTTGTGTGCGAAGTACTGTAAAAAACTGTAGGAGGAGTAGCATTTTGAAAGTATTTCACAGAGATTTCTATTTTTAGTAACCACAGCAACACCGTTCATCGAAAACCGATACAGAAAATTAGGTATCTTAGTGTAGTCTACTTATGTGCCAAGTAAAATTGATATCAGACAAAACTGTAGGAGGAGTAGCATTTTGAAAAATTGCTGACAGACAGATGGACGGAAGACGGATATATAACTATCGCATAAGCTCTCTGTCCAGTAGAGCTAAAAATGCACCAATCAGTTCAGTATTGAAAAGTTTACGGAGGGGGGGGGGGCTTGAATTTTAAACTACTTAAGGATGCCTCCATATCAATATATAAATAAATATATATTTGCTGTTCTCCAGATGCTTTAAAAAAAAATATGCCCCCATTCGAAGAGATATGTATAAAATGTACAAATTGGTTTAAGAACGTGTCTGGAATTGGGGGGTAAAAGGTGGGTGATTTCCCAATTTATTAATGTTAGAAAGTGGAGAATTTCTACCAAACAGTGCCCCCCCCCCCAAAATAATCCTGTGCCGTAAATTGCACATTTTATGCATTACGGATCTGTAGCGTTATGGTCAAATACTTTAGACTTATATACATGTACATAACCATAACGCTACAGTTCTGCAGCTTGTAACTTAGAAAAAAAGAAAATCCAACATAAAGTTTCAGTACAGGGATTACAGTCTCTCGAAATCCACGTATGCTATAAAACACTAGACGATCCGCGAGTAATATACCAACACTATTATTTTCATGATGGACTTATCAATATGATGCAAAAGAAAAGGGGAAAAAGAATACAAAAACAATAACAAAAACAATAAAACCCACGAAAACGAAACCTTGACATGCTACTATAATGTATAACGCCTTAACAAAATTTCTCATACTAAACAACTCCAATCCTCGAAATAAAATTAATTTGTAACGCGTAAAGCAGAATATTGTCATAGAGTTAACGAGGAGCAATAACTTCAGTAAGGGTTACAAACCCCTTTGTTTTCACTATGTTTACGAAATAGTTTTAAATTTCAATAATAGGTTAAACTGCATGATTAACAAAGTACGTGATAATTTCTTGAAATATAGGTGTTAAATGAGTTGGGGTTATATTGTGAGGAGGGGGGTGGCTTGTCTCCCTCGCGACCTCAGGCGTTCTTGCACGTATCGCTTTTATTTCAAGATGCATCAAGAATTCGATATACATGTACGTGTATATCTGCATAAACATCACGTGTTTATTTTTAAATTAGGGTGTCAGGCGATGTCAATGCAGTATTTAAACAAGGTGCAAAGTCATTTAATTTCATTTATAATTATAGAGCGAATATCTTATCACATTGTGCACTGCTTATCACATTTTAATCACTTCAAATCTATATAGGGTGTACACTGTATTTCAAAGATCAAAATGAGGGATCCTTTCCACAGGGGTCGGTACATTTTAACATTGCTTAAATAACCTATACAAAAAGATTAGGGGGATGTCAACCCGAATTTGCACGGATCGATTGAGGGAAGAGTGGTCTTTTTTTTACTCGCATTGGTAATATGCGATAAATATATATATTTCTTACAAAATGTCAAATTTCCACACATTCCACAAAAAGTGTACAATTTCCAAATTTCATTCGACCCTTCCCAAGTCCCTTTAATTGCTGTGGCAGCCCTGGTTTTCAGAAATGTTAGAACAAACTAGAGTGTAGAAAATATAGACCTGATCATTCTCATCTTCTTTAATTTAAAATTAAGGTATTTAACAATAATTTCTCTCCCCGTAAATCACAATTTTGATCCTTTTACCGACATGTATAAGATATACTCATCTTTAACCGCATTTTAAAATGATTGACGGAGAATAATACATACATGTATACCGTGCTATTGAATGCTCTAACAATCAGGTGAGGAAAGGTTGACAAACCTCGGGCTCGTTTCAACTGCTCTGAACCGTAAGATTTCAGCTGTATTCATTGCTTCTGAATTCCTTTTAAATATGTTATTTGCCTTTTGACAAAAACTTATAGAAATCGAGTAAGGATCTTTTCAATTAAAATCGATCGAATATGATCAGCTATTACGCATTTATATGTGTTTAAAACATTTTGATGATTTATTTTGATTCTAAATTTCAACAACTGAAATGGCCAGGAAGATAATTTTTTTCAAGTGTAAATTTATTCTGATAGTAATTTTCTGTGTCATACATATCACCAATGGTAAGTTAATATTCAATACAAAATCCATTTTAATTAATTAAGAAAAAAAGTTGTTTGATTTTGTCATGATCAACAATGAAATCGCGCGTTAATTAATACAGAAAATTACAAATCCATTGTTGTTTATTAATATGATGTTTAATCAAGTGAAGCACAAAGGCAATTATACATGTAACTAAACATTTTATGAGACAAACTGCTTTACTTCGTCAATTCCTTTCTTTCCAATTTTTTATGAATACAGTTGAGTGCTGATTGAAACTATGGTATAATAACTGAATAAGGGGTTCTATATAATTATTATATAGTTGTTATAAAAACAAATACTAAATAAATCTTCAAGATGTTTCCTTTCGAAAATATACCTGTTTTTTTACTTTGTGTGAATAATTGCTAGTTGTTTGCGTCCAAACTTTTAAATTTAATTATAATCAATTTTAAAAACATTTCCTAGGTTTATACTATTTGACCTATACTTTCTGAAAGTTCGTGTCTGAGTTTTAGAACACATGTTTTACATAACAAACATTACATCTGGTAGTATGAAGGTGAAAATCTTGTCTTTCAAAGATACATTCTAGACAAGTTTAAATATATGTGGGCAGTACATATTTAGTATTTTAACCAATCTTTACATAAAATGTTTGTACAAATAATAACTATCATCTTCTAATCGTATATAATAAAAGTATAATTTTATGTTATTTATTTATAAACATAGTACTGTCTTCAGAGATTATCGCATACATGCATATTTAGTAAAATATTTTGAATGAATTAACACCCCCCCCTTTACTCATATCCAACTACGTTTGTTTTATTTATCCAGTAATTTAAAACTCTTTCATTTGAAGCATTAACAATCAGCAACTTACCGACAGCCGTCGACCTTCGCGAGGACACCACGGCGGAGACTCTACTCCACACCGTGTCTTACACCGGGGTCACCGCGGGGGACACCGTTACCTGCAGTATGAACACGGTGACAAATTTCTTTATGAAAATTGTGACCGGCTCAAGTGAGTATATATTAACAATACAGAGAGCAGAATCGAAGCAAAAGTAGTCATACGATATAAAATCAATTTTTAATTACTTTTAAAGCAATATAAGCTGCAACTTTGATGTAAAAATATTTTGTTGCAAAATTGTAAATAACAACTTCAATGACAAAAAAATTACGTTAACAAACTTCTGTTGTTCATATTTGCGACGGAAAAACTATTTATAAGCCTTGTTTGCATCAAAATTGCATTATTGTCGTCCTGTACAATAATGCTTTCTTATATAAAACTGTATATTAGATTGCATAAAGAAGTATTTCTTCTGCTTTATTCAAGTCAAATTGATCATAAAGGCTTAAGTTACATAAAATTTATCATAATAACACATTTTAACAGCAAAATAAAATTTTCAAATATGCAGCTCATATTGCTTTAAGTGTTTGTGTACATTATAATTAAAAATGAGAACTTCACTGTAAACAATTCTTATGATTATGTTAGAAGTAAAAAGACTGCTCTTTCGGGCTTATGTTTCTGGATGTCAACCCCGACTTTAAGGCAAATAACCCTCTGCTCTAAATTTTACAATTATTTTAAAAATATTCCTAGCAATGATTTTCATCAACAGCTAAAGAATGAGTATGAAATTGAAAAAAAAAATAGTTTGGGGTATGAGGCGTTATATATTTTTTTTAAATTCAGAAATGATTTTGTCCGATCATAATATGAAAAAAGGAAGGGTAAATATTGATTATCACAACATAAAATTCAATGATGAGACAAATACGAGAAAATACCTAAGTACCTATTAAATTAGAAGAAAGATGTATTTGTGAAACACTGATGACTGTCAAATACAAAAGCCATACCCCACCTAACCCCACAAAAGTAATGAGTTTACAAGGTTACATGTTTTTGCTGACAAACAGACAGACAGAGGGACACACAGGGAAAAAACTATATACCCACCAATCTTAGATTATGAGAGCATAAATGAAATAAAGCCCTAGGGGCCGTTTTACAAAAGGACTTACGACTTAGGACCAAATTTAATTTTTCATATAACGTTTTAATTAACAATCGAAAATTATTTTTAGCTTTTTAAAAGGAATGTGGTAAGATATTTTTACAAAAACAATTTCAAAGAGAATTATTAATTTTGCAAAATTTAACAATGATCTGAAATTTTTGGTCTTAGTCGTAAGTTCATTTGTAAAACAGGCCCCTGCTGCTCAAGTCAGAAAAGGATCACAATTTTATTTATGCTTGACATACATCTTTAACTTCCTTAGAGGATCGGTTCTCCTTTTAAAAATACTTAGTAATAATAATCTTGTGCTATCTTTCAAATTATGATTGTTTGCTCCCTCCCGAAACAGATTTTTTTTGAAAATGGATCGGTTGGTGGGTAGATTCTGTTTCAAAATATTTGTTTCTTGTAAAATAAAAAAAAATTGAAAGATGGCCGCATCTTGATATTACATCGTATAATTGAATATCTTAGGCGAACTTTTAAATAGTGTGTTATGACTTTAGTTTCATAACATTTCTTTTGATGTTTTGGCATGGTTAATGACATAAAGACATAACAGTCTATTCTTATCACATAAATCATTATGATGAAGTTCGATCCCATTTGGGATCAAATTGAACGAAATAATGGGGGAGGGGGGTAATGAGTCGCTAAATCTGAAAAGAAGTTCATTTCTGATTGTTTTATTCTTTTTAGCTAATTATGGTGTGTATGTCGTTGCTAACCCGGCGGGTCTCTCCTACCCCAGCAGCTACACCATCACGGTAACCTGCACGGGGTCACCCTCAGGTGGCACCGACTCGAAGAATCTGGAGGTCCATATCACCCAAAACTCGCCACCCTCCATCACCAATGTCCCCGGTAAGGCGTCCTTAAATGATGATGCTCGTCTGTTTTCATAAGATTCAGATATATATTTACATTTATGTTACAATTGTTTTGAATTTAAAAGAAAGATTTTAAAAATCGGGCTATGGAAATAAATCGATCCTGTTTGGAAAGGTCTTGCATGTTTTAAGTCTTTCTGCTCTCGTAAATTAAATTGTTCAAAGTAAATAAACTGCATTTATTTTCACTGACTGAAGTTGAAATTAACTTGTATTCTACCACGATTATTGAAAACATCAAAGGAAACCGGCGGACATTATTCTCCAATAAATCATGAACGTCATCAAAAAATTATCAGATCAGAAACACGTATCAAATCTGAACAATTCAAATGCATATTTGGCTGTAGAATAAAATACTTGTTTAGACCGCATCGATGTGTCGTCTTTTGCAGTATAAACACTGTAAATTGCATCAAGTTGCTGATGAATGTCGGTTTTTATAGCTAAGCGGGGCTATTCCACGGACCTCCCTACACATTAAACAACGTGATTTTAGCAGTAAAACAGGAACATGATTTTGTTATTGTATATTCATTTTAACTGATCAGTACATATTACGAACAAATTTGTAATTTTAAAAGGCTATTTTTAATGTAACGAAAGCTCAAATCGTCTGCATTCTATACACAGGTAAGCAAACAAATTTTACCTCTGGTGTTAAATGAAACAGCGTAATCGAGACATGGTGACCTAATTCGTTTCTCTATAGATTGTAGTTATACATGGTAGAATAGAAATAAAGTCCTTGTTGTCGTGAATGATGCAGAATAACCTCCTCTCTCGGCTAACGCCTCGGCTTTTATCTTTCAAACAACATTTCTCGACCTCGGAGGTTATTCTGCAACATTCACGAAAACGCGGACTTTATTTCTTAAATAAATCGCAAGAAATGAATAAGGTGCCATATAATTTTAAGATGTAAGACACAAATAAACTGAAGTACAATGTATATGCCAACATTAAAAGAGTACTTTCTTATTAAACAATATCATTAAAATTTACTCAAATACGTATTGCAGATGATAAAAAGTCTAAAACAATTGATATAATTATGTTTTAATTGTTTTATCTGGAAGAGCAAATTTACATTTGTCAATAAGAGTACAAAAAAGAAAATGTCTAAATGAAGAAGAAATATTACCCAAGTAACCTTTTAAATGATTGAATAAATGATTAAAACCGATAAGATATTAGCACGTTTACTTAATATTTTTCATTAAACCCGTTGAAAAACATGTTTTCCTGAACATATTTTCTGTTATATATACAACTAGGTGTGAATTTTAATTAAAAATAATTTTTGCAAAAACCTTTGACATCATAGGAAGGAGCTTATACCTTAATTGTTGAAATTGTTCTTAAGGACAAATTTCAGGTATTTACTATAAACATATATCTTCAGATAAAGGTTATACAGTAGCATTTTCCCCAGAAGATCACTTCAAAAACTTCTCCTGTGTAAAGGAAAAAAAAGGAAGAGAAGTATTGATGTATGAATAATCAAATGATTGTCCAACTTCTTAGTTACCTTTTTCTTACATCCAAAATACATGTTTATCAACATGAAAATATCTTTGTATCACACATATGTTACCACCATTTATTGATCCTAAGATCCTCCACTGAATATATAAGATGTATTTTTATTTTTAAAATGTTACCAAGCTTAATATCTGATCGATATATATAAAGACGTGTGAAATAAAGATCTCATGCAAAATAACCTCTCTGTTCTATTTACTAGTAGTCGAAACTATGTCAAACAACTGAAATTAAAATACAAAAAGCGTTATGTTTCCTTCTAAATTTTAAGGAAATAACATTTACCGTAAGGTTTTACCCAGAGATATTAATTGTTGTTAAATAATTATTATCATTACAGCTTCTACCAGTGTCGATAGTACCACCACCGGAAGTGGCGTTACCATTTTTACCATTACGGCAACAGATGCCGAGGGTGATCAGCTGTATTTTGAAATCGTGTGTGACCCAACCGGATGCCCCTTCGAAGTATTTGCCTGTAAGTTTTATAGCACTGATAGCCAAAGTACAAAAGCAGAGATATAGTTTTCTTTTCAAGTGTTAGAATCTGCGAATCATTCAGGCCTTGCAGTGTCCCCAAATGACAAATTTGTGCTCATCATCAATGTTAATAATAGTAACTTGAAGTATAATGCGCGTGCTATTCATTAACTAATGATTGTCTTATCAACAGCGGGCGCCATTTTGACAACAGCTTCTCTGGAGGGAACACATGTTGGCGGATATGACATCAATGTTTATGTTAACGACAGCAGATCAAAGGTCGGACCAAAAGTTCTATCAGTCTCCATCACGAGTAAGTCTTCTAAAATTTAAATATACCATTTACTAAGGACAACCACAAACATGATTTATTTTATTTTTCAACTTTATTCATTGCGGTATATATAAATATATATATTTAAGTTTCCCTCATCCCTATACCCAGCTGAAAAACCACCTAAGTAATAATTCATAAAATACCAGTACCACTGCTAGCTTTGTGTCGTATTTCTTCACTTCGTGTCATCAGATTTGGTAATAAAACCATTGAGTGGCGTGCTCGTGTTTTCAGTTCCACCACCAGTAACTAAATAAAATTTATTGTCAATTAACCCAGCATTAATATTTAGCGGTGTAGAACTATCTGCAGTAAATTGTGCACGGTTACATAGTTTGTGAAAATCATCCTGCATACAGCAGCAGTCCCCAAACTTTGCAGAACGGATTTCACAATGACTGGCGCCATCTCGCCGGAAGTCTTCAACAAAAGAGTACACTCCCTTTATCAATTCGCCATTTGTGATCGTTTTCATTGTTGCCATGTGAAACCAATCTGGTAAACAACTGTTTTTAAGGTAGCAAGAATATGCTGTCCAAACTCCATCAAGGTTTTCGGCCTCCAGTTTGAATTGTACCGGCTCGCCGACTGCCCATTTGTAAGGCATCATGGTTTTACCACCCGTTCCTTCATTACCAAATCGAGAAACCTCAACCCCTTCTCCGCTATGAATAACCTGGACTCTTTTATCCTCAGAAGGGTCGGTATTCGTTTGGCTGTCCCAGACAGAAAAAATTGCCATTTTCTTTCCGTCATAAAGCTCCTGTATGCCGCTGTATCCTCGACTAAATCCGATGACACAGAAATACGTTCCCTTTTGAGATTCAGTGACACAGACTTCGTTACAAACACATTTTACGTTCTGTGGTAAATCAAACCACAAATGAACGGAACGAGCTGCGGAATGCGACATGAGGGTTAACTTTTTCTGGAAAAAATTTAAACGTCATTATTTTAATTTACTTTAACTTAAATATCAATTAAACGTAAATTGTAAATAAAGGTTAACTGACAAGGCCTCTGCAATAGTACGATTTAGCGGATATTCTCACCTGTCTACAGAGTTGCTCAAAATTAAAATAAAATGTGGTTCATTTAATCTGGATGGTAAATATTGTGATATTTTTCTGTTATTAACCATTTCAAGGAGCCCTTCCACGATTATTTGATTATGTAAAACAATGACATTTTTATTTTGGCTTAACTGTCTCTTTTACGCCGAAACCAATAAAATTTATCCTATAATTCAAAATCACACCTGTATCGTGTTCAGAATTTAGAATTCAAGTAAAGCATGACATTCAAAATCCCGTAAAAACAATCCCGCGGAAATTTATACACAGAGTCCAACCAATATGATATTTACTTTTGCTTAACTCTGTATAACATGGAAGTAATTGCAGTGAAAACAAACTGTAATGCAGTTAATCTCTTTTACATGTACAATGCACTCATTTACAGGGAGCGTAGTTATTCACAGGGTTTCACTATTGAAATCTATTTTGAGGATCTCGTAAAAAAATACTTCAAGAAAAAATAAAAATTACCTCGTTTGTTGATTCGTGGCTTCTATCGAAGTCAATAGTGTACAGAGTGGAACGAAAGTGTATATCAAACGAGACCGTTTTATTGGGTGCGTTTAATTTCTTTTCACAATTATCAACATGCGTTCCAAATAGACTTCAATGTAAAATTCACGGTGCAAATGGTTGGACAATAATCAAAATGTTATAGATTATTGCTATCCGTTTTCGTCCGTCGTCGTGCGTCGTCGGTCGTGCGTTAACATTTGAAATTTTCAGCTTCTTCTCTGTAACCACTCAACCAATTTCAACCAAATTTGACACAAAGCATTTTTGGGTGAAGGAGAACAAAAATTGTTATTTTCATGGTCACTGCACCCCTGGGGCCTAAGGGGTGGAACCAAAACCACTAAAATTAAATATTTCTTAAAAATCTTCCTTTTTACTCCTAGACATCAAGCAGTTAAACTGTAATCAGCATTGTGTCCTCTGCCAAAAAATGTGAAATTCATGGCCCAAGGATCAGGGGTTCTTGTGCTAGGGTGGGGCTCTATTGATTATCTATTGAAATTGCATAAATTCTTTGAAAATCTTCTTCTCTGCTCCGGGGCATTAGAAAAACTAACAAAGTACATAGTTATGTTGAATAAGGCTGTCTCTACCAAAATTGTAAAATTCATGGCCCCTGGGTCAGGGGTTCTAGTGCTAGGTTTGGGGCTCTATTGATTACATAGTGAAATTGCATAAATTCTTTGAAAATCTTCTTCTCTGCTCCTGTGCATTAGATAAACTAACCAAGTACAAAGTTATGTTGAATAAGGCTGCCTCTTAAATTCCAAAATTGTGAATTTCATGGCCCAAAGGGTCAGGGGTTCTGTTGTTAGGGCGGGGCTCTATTGATTATATAGTGAAATTGCATTGTTTCTTGGAAAATCTTCTTGTCTGCTCCTTGGTATTAAATAAACTAACCAAGTACACGGTTATGTTGAATAAGGATGCCTCTTCCAAAATTGTGAATGTCATGCCCCCTGTGGTCAGGGGTTCTGGTGTTAGGGTGGGGCTCTATTGATTTTATAGTGAAAATACATTAATTCTTTAAAAATCTTCTTCTCTTCTCCTAAGCATTAAACAAACTAACCAAGTACATAGTTATGTTGAATAAGGCTGCCTCTTCTGAGAATTTCAGGGCCCCTGGATCAGGGGTTCTTTTGTTAGGGTGGGGCTCTTTTGATTATATAGTGAAATGCATGAATTCTTTGAACATCTTTTCCTTTCCTCCTGCTTAATATGCCCATGATCAAATAACATATTTAAGGCCAGCATTTTTTTCATTATCAGGTTGACAAACCCGCCGCTCAAGGTTTAGAATTTTCAGGAAAAAAAGGATTTTTTTCTTTCCGATGTCAAATTTGAGTAGGGATCGAGATTTCAAATTTACGAAGTCGAAGTTCCGGTTTAAGATGAACATGACGGGTAAATAAAGTTAGATCTGCAAAGTTCATAGGTGTTATAACAGTATTACACTTTGGTTCACGTCAAATCATGGCTGACGCAAAATAATCCCGGAATCTTCCCTTCCGATTCGGGCATTTTGATACGAGACTGGAGCTGAATTTTTTTTATGAGATGAAAAATAACATGTAAACTTCCTGTATTGATCAGATTTATTAAAATTTAGGGCGTGCTGATTTTTCTGTATACTGTCAAGAGTGGGGAGTGATTAGGCCCTGGACTAGATTTTCAAGCATCTGCTCGACTTCTGTTAGGGTGGGGCTCTTTTTTTTTATATAGTGATGCATTTCCTTGAACATCTTTTCCTTTGCCGAAATAAAATTGCGTGCTTTGCTGGATGGCTATGTATTTTTTGGTACTAAAATCTTTATAAAGAATGGTTTTACAAGATCTGAAAAGGAAACTTCTCAGAAGTTTGTTTTGAATTAGTTACATCTACTCAAACTTGCGCATTTTTGGTAAGAATATATTATAGTAGAAATTAATACTGTTGTGACACCTGCCCATAGCAGCACCATAGCTTGGTTTAGTGTAAAAATTTATCAATAGGAGTACCATTTAAAATATTTCAGCCGTTCAGAGGACAAATAAAATGCTGACGACTTTGTTGCACAATGATATGCTGGTGAGATGTATTCGTATTCAAAAGTATCTGTCTGTAAATTATATTTTCCTGCCACTAGTTTAAAACTGCCCGCAGTAGCTATTGCCAGCAACATTGTTTAGGTGTCTGTTATAGCTAAGAGTCTAAGCATCATTCTTCAGAAAAGGGTCGCTTATGCATCAGATGTAATGAATAAAACTATGGGAGAAGTTAAGTCCATTTGAGGAAGAAATAAACAATATTCAATAGCCTAAGAAATTAAAAAAATTAACTATTAAAAAGCAAGTATATACAAATATATACTGGCATGTAGCATGCAGCCAAAAAAATTATTTTTACACGTAATTGAAAAAAATGTTCGCCCTACTCCCCAATTTCCCTGTCTTTCTTATGATAGTAATTATAATTTTAGGTACCAAATATATTTTAGAACAATGTCTACACATTCACCTAACACATATTTTAAAAATGAAGATATATTGAAAGAGTTTAAAAGAATTGATTTTTTAAAATATATTTTGATCATCACAAAATTTATATCAAATAAACAAATTAATGTTATATTTTCCTATTTGTAACTATTATGTGTCCAGTGGCAAAGAGTCTGTTAGGATAGCATAAAAAGAAGCAAAAATGAATGTTCAAATGTCAATCAATAATTTGTCCAAATTTTTTTTTTATTCATTTTCTCCTCCTACGGAAGTTTTTCATTCTGATTGTTGTAACTAAATCTAACCAGAAGTCTCTGTCGAGACTGAAGCTCTACTGGTTTGTACTTATAGCAAAGGAAGAGAAAAGTACTTCAGCAGTTGGAAATTGAAACTTTTCAACAGCAATAAATAGAATAATGATCCTTGATTAAGTCTCTTTATGTTCTTAGTGCAGTCTACTTGCATGCCACATTTATATTATAATCAAACTAAAATTGTATTTGGAGTAGCATTTTGAAAGAATTTCACAGAAATTTCTATTTTTAGTAACCACGGCAACACCGTTCATCGAAATCAAAAACCGATACACAGAATTGTGTATCTTAGTGTAGTCTACTTGTGTGCCAAGTTATATTGAAATCAGACAAAAACTGTAGGAGGAGTAGCATTTTGAAAGAATTTCACAGAAATTTCTATTTTTATTTACCACGGCAACACCGTTCATCGAAATCAAAAACCGATACACAGAATTATGTATCTTAGTGTAGTCTACTTTTGTGCCAAGTTATATTTATATATTTATGTTTTCATGTTGTAGACATGATGAATATGTGTACTAAATATAATTTGTGAAAAAAAGTCCAATAAGCCCCGGGATTGAATATTAGGGGGGGGTCCTGTACATAAGTACCTGTGAACTGACATGTGATTTTGAAGAACCTCTTCCTTAGAAAGTGAACTATGAATATTAGTTGGATTACCACTTGTAGAATTAAATCAAAGTTCTTCTAAAATACAATTTATATAATGAGCCTTACAAACAAAGACAATGTTGCTACCTGTAATCTGAATGCCCTAATCTCTATTTATCCGTCTGACAGATGTTAATTCGCCTCCCACCATTACTAACAAACTGACAACCCCTGTATCCGTGACTGAGAACTCTGTGGTGGGAACCACTGTACGACAATACACTACCACTGACGTGAATGGAGGAGTACTGACCTACTCTGCTACCTACAGTCCCGCCTCCGGAGGAACCTACTTCACCATCGAGTCAACAAGTACGGCAATGCCTTGAATATGTCTATTTTTATTAAAAAGCAGCTTTTCCATCCCAAATTTAACTTAAATTGTAATTTGTCATTACAGTACATGTACATGTTCTGTACATTTATAAAATGTTGAATATTATACTATTAATATCCTGTCAGTAAGTTTCTCTTTCTTATTTGCAGCATACAAAACCGATATATGATTGTAAATCTAACCTTCTTTACTTTTCTTCTGAAATATAGGTGGTATAGTGAAGACTGCAAGTTCTATAAATTATGAGACGTTATCTGTAGCAGAACGAACAGTTCTAATCACAGTCATCGTCAGAGACGCAGCGGCAGCATCCGACACGACAACCCTCACCGTCAGCATTATAGATCAAAACGAGGCTCCAGTGTTTCCTAAAGATTCGTACACTCTCGTTACGAACGAGGCTGGGGTAATGTTGTAGACATTTCTTTATATAATACATTGTATGTCAATCTGAAATTGATGATATGAATAAACATTGAGTACATTTCTTTTTAAATTACCTAGGCAGGAGCCTCCATTGGTAATCCCAATTTTCAGGCCATCGATCCGGATACTTCATCAACTTTATCATATAGCACAACATGCACAGAAATAAGTATCGACTCCAGCACAGGGGCTGCCAGCTTCACGTCTGCTTACGATATGGACGAAGCGGGAAAATCTGGTACCATTACTTGTCCAATCACGGTCAGTGACGGATCTTTGACGGATACAGCCACTCTTGCCATTACTGTGAACAACATCAATGACAATACGCCTTCGTTTGGCCAGTCTGCATACACCTTTACAACCACAAACACGGTGGCAGTGGGGACGACGTTAGGCTCTATAGCAGCCACAGACGGAGATCTTAGTTCCACTTCATTCGGTTATTAGCATTCTATCTTTGTGGTTAAAGACTTTCCCCAAAGTCATTGATAATAGCGTCTGAGATCAGAGTCTTACTGCACATACTTGTACTTTTTAAAAATTATTGGAATCTTCATAATCAAGCTGAAAAACGCAAAGTTAGAAAAATTCCTTGATGAAGTAGATATATGTATTTTTTTGAAATTCTAATAGTTTTTAATTTCAGGAACAATTACATACGAATTGAATCAACTGACTCTAGGCGGTGATTATTTTGGAGTTACCAGTACTGGGTCATTATACGTTAAAGCAGCTATTACGTCACTTTCTTCTGGCTCAGCTTACACTATAACTGCAACGGCACGTGACGGTGGCCTCTTATCGGACACCGCCTCCATTACCATCATAATACCATCTACCACTACCACTACAACCACCACCACGGACAGGGCTCAGACGTTCTTCGAGGATCCGCGGAATATCGCGTGGTTCACGGCGGCCATGATTGTCCTTGCTCTTACGATCGGGTTAATTACTTACATGTGCATACGTTACGGATTCCAATTCAAGAAATATCAGTATGTATATACAAGTCTAAGAATGATATTTGTATCAGGGTTAAGCCGTCTTTTAAAAAACGGTTTGCCTTCTCCCGACCCACCTTATTGTTTGATCATAATAGACATAACAGCACCCCTCCTCCCCCAAGATTTAAATTTAAATATACGTGACTACAAACATGTAAATGGAAAAATAATTCATAAAGGACTGATTGAAATGTTCCCTAAAATATATAAATTTAAAAAAAAGCGCGTGTAGTTTTAGGATAAATTTATGTAAAATTTAGAATACATTACATTTATCCTACTAGCTGGGAATATTCTTTAAAGGAATATAAACATGAATTATTTACCTTTCTCAGGAAAACTTACCGATCTCGGCGAGTGGACCAAGACAGAGAGAAGTTGAAAGGTAAACCAGTCTCATTTAAGATGTGCTCTGTAATTCATTCTTTCTCTCTCTCTCTACAAATAAATCTTTCTCTCTCTCTCTCTACAAATAAATGACAAGTTATGTTACACGTACTGGCCAACTTTTCCACCTCTTTTAGGGTTATATGACACTTGTAAGTTGGTACATTATTTCAGACTTGCACATCACTGTTATCGAGTAAGAAATTTTACGCTATAAAATTCTTGAGTAAAGTTCCATAGTGATTAACAATTTTTACTATTGTTAACTAAGATAAAATGTGATAAACTATTGTAAATATTTGTTAGGGTTGATTTACGTGTACCTGTCAGAGATTCGTGCATAAAACATAACATTTCTTAAGATACATGTAGGCAAGCTTGTGCTCTGTGTATTCTGTGCTACAAATTGATAATAATTTGCTTTGCGAAAAAAATAAGGAAACCCAATATTGATATATTTTGTGATCTTCAAGCGATTTTTGTACCCCTACACGTGAACTTGTAGATCATATGTTGATACAACACAAATGATATGAAATTGTAGATCCTTTGTTGATACAACACAAACAAGGGATCAAAATCTTGTCCCTAAAATTCGTTTCATTTAGATAAAGTCTTGTCATTAAAATTCGTTTCATTTATCTTATCCTTTGTATAAATGAAAATGAATTTTATTTTAGAGAAAATCTTTATAATCGTTTTATAATGCCTCCGTAATCGAAGATTCGGGTGTATAAAGTCCTTGCTTTGTTCGTCCATCTATCTGTCTGCAAAAACCGGCTTTAAACTTGCCCATAAGTTTTGATTAGGTGGGACTGTCGCCTTCATATTTCACAGGTGTATTCCATGTGACAGGACCTTTCATTGGGTACCACGAAAATTAACCTTTTGACAGAGTTTTACAAAAAATATCAACCTATAAAATTATCCATTACTTTTGAACATTTGGTGCTAGGGCTTAATTCAAACTTCACAGGATTATTTATTATGATAACACTTTTCAATGGGTAAAATATTTTTGAGCTTAGCCTTAGAGTTTGACCCACTTTAACTTCAACCCTGACCATTACTTTTAAAAAGTTACAATTGTAGTATTAGGGCTTTCATATTTCACAGGTGTGTCTGAAAAGACCTTTCTCTTGATACCAACAATTTTGACCTTGAGATACACTGAAGTTTGCGTTTTAGAAACTTCAGCATGTACCAAAAGCTCTCATACGGGGGCATCAGTGTTTCACAAACACATCTTGTTGATATTGATATCATACTTACTGCTTTTGACAGAATATATTGAAGGCAACTGGAGGCCGTGGAAAGTATGGGACAAACGATGACGTCACTAGGTAAACTTTAATACTTTAAATTGCTATATGTCATCATATATGGACATACGAATTTTTTCAAAGAAATTCAGTTTACAAAATGTTTCCTTTGTAATAATTTTTCTCTCTGTTCTTTTTCAGATCATTAAGGGAAAATGCAATTCTCCCATCATTATACTTGAAGCAAGAATAGAAACATATAAAATCATGTAATGGAATGCCTGATAATTGTTGTAAATATTTTGTTATAATTTATGAGACATTTCAAATAATGTAACCAATATACATAATAGATTTTTTTTAAAGTTAAAATTCTTATTTCCTTTGAAGATCGATGGATTGTTGTTATTAGTCCCTCTCGAACATTTTTCTAAAATGAAACATGGAGTTAACGTACAGTATTCAAGATCAAAAGTCCATTTTACACAATACAAAATAGGAGCAGAGCTAGCACGGACCTCCAAAACATCAGAGGTGGGATCAGGTGCCATGGAGGAGTAAGCATCCCCTGCCGACTGGTGCTCCTTGTCATCATAATGGGAAAAATCTGTCGTCGTCAATTCAGTGTATAAATAATGGACTAACAATTAGTATGAAAAACGTCATTCATAAATTCTATTTGCTGACAAGGTCATTGTATCGACCATAGAACTTACGAAATGATTACTTTAAACACGCCTGCTGAAATTCTTGTTTCATCAACTTGTTTGTCAATAATTTACCTCTTTGTAGAAATTGTTCATACGAAGAGCATTCTCTTGCGTATAGAATCAACTGAGACACATAAACTCTGTATGCAGGTGATGAAGGTATATTGCTGCATAGGTAAGGGAAGTTGACGATAGAAACGTTAAAGTCATCACGTTTATTATAGAGCTTGGTTGTTAGATAACCAATATCGTCTTTTTCAAGTAAAATATCCAAATATGAAACAGATGTGTCAGACTCTGTGGTATCTTTTATCTCAAGCTCACCAGGATATATCGTATCGACATAAGAATGGAAATTACCATTGTTAATTGACAATACGTCATCGATATATCTAAATGTTTAGTTACATCTAAATGTCGAATTGAAGGCCACAGTAGGTGTTTTCTTCTTTTCACGCAGGTGATTTTGCAGAAATTCTGCATCATATGAATAGGTCTGCTAATAACGGGGCGCAATAGATTAGTACCCCTGAAAGAAAAACGCACGCTAGCTCTCGATTCCCGCCTACATTTTGCACCCATATAATTCAATACAAATGACAATTTTGCCATAAAATCTTTGTTTAATACAAAGAACAGTTCAATGGTAATTGATGAATTGTCTTAATACCAGCACTAAATAGTAAATTATGTTTCAGTTGTAAATCGCTTTGAAATTGGTGGAAAATGAACATTTTTGTCGTTTTTTTGTCAATAAAGACATGTTTCCCCCGTGAAACACAAAAAGCTTTGGTATGAATTTGTGAAATAACAGTCCACATTACCTGTAAAAATGAATTTTTGTGTCTATAGTAAAAACACAACTTTTACCAAATTTTTAGAATTTATCTCTCTCTAGATCTGTTTTCCTAAATAAGTAATGTTTTATGAAAATCCATAAAATTATCTTAAAAAACATTAAAACTTTTGAAAATTGACTTGGAGGTAGGCGGGAGAACAATACTAGCGTTCGCAGTTCTTCCACTAAATTGTTGGAAGACCTGGTCACAGGCTACAGCAAGTGTTTTCTTCTTTTCACGTACCAGATTTTGGACAAAGTCTGCTTCATATGAATACAAAAATAGGTTTGCTAATAACGGGGCGCAATTGGTACCCATGGGAATTCCAATAGATTGTTGGAAGACCAGGTCTCCAAAAAACATAAATATTGTCAGTCAGAAATTCAAGCATCTTTTTGATGTCAATTTTAGAATACTTGTGTGTACAATCAGAATGTTTTTAACAATGAATAATTTTGCAAATGACCATTAACAAGGTAAGTAAATTTACGAGTTCATTTTTATTGAAAAAGCACCAGTCCTATGATATCAAAAAGGCTGGATTTTAATTATGGTTTTTTTGAAGCTGTTGATTTTGTTAAAATCTTGTGATTTCAAATTGTCCAAAAGTTCCTTGGAATTTTTAAGTATCCACATCTGATATACACCACTTTTAAAGTTTTTGAATATTTTGTTTCACAGTACTCTTGAAGTTTCTACTTCACTACTGTTATGCCCTGTTCACACGGAGAGTTTAATTCGAATTAAACGTAAAGTTACTGCGAATTAGCTTCGCTCAGCATTCACACGGAGAATTTAATGCGAATTATTTTAATTCGAATTAGTTTACTGCGCATTAAATTACTTCGCATTAGCACCGTGTGAACTCTAAGCGAAGCTAAATCGAATTAAATTCTGACGCATGCGTAATGGCAAAATTTAGTCAAATACCACTTGTCGATGGTCAGCTATAGGTACTTGTGCTATTTTTGAGTGAAAAACTAAGGAAAATTTTGTTAATCATTAAAATGTGTGTACAGACACTGTGACATTATGTCAAATGGATCTGCTTCTGCAGAGGGTGACGTGATTTGCAAATGACGTCATGATAGCCGTACTGACGCCGGGCTGCAGAAGTAAAATTTTAATTCGCATTAACTTACTTCGCATCAGCTGTCGTGTGAACACAATTTAATTCGCATTAGTTTGATTCGCATTAATTTACTGCGAATTAAACTCTCCGTGTGAACAGGGCATTAATATCTTAATGAGGAGTAAAGAAAAGGGCATATGGAGAAGCAACCACTTACCCGTGGAGAGCTACAACATTCTGACCTATACTCGGCCATTGAGCATTGAGGGATCTTTTTCGTGCCAACACTGCGGCACGAGACCTCAGTTTATACTGTCTCATCAGAAGGACCAGTCTCCACGCCCCACAGTGGGATCCGTGACCTTAATCTCTTACCCAGATTAATTGTTCTAGTTATACTTCTGTCAACGTCTAAAAGGTAAATGTATCAAATGGATGTGAAAATCTCATTGCACGATTTAGGGGCAGTTTTAAAAAAAATATCTCTATGCGTTCAATAATTCAGAAGTGAAAAAAAAATTAGATAAATTAGATAAATATGCTCTGGTATCACCTGACAAAGCAGGTACAAGAAATTTTAGATTATTTTTTTAAAAAGATATTCTTCAAAGTCTTGTGTCAGTTTTAAGTATTGTTTTTAAATTCACAACAGCTGAAATGAATTTGAATTACCATAACTACATGTTATCTTCATAAACTTAAAACTTTTAAAGGATAAAGCGGGTTTTTCCCAAGCATCTGTGTTTACTTCTAGTTAAAATAATAACAGCAGAAAAGAAAAATTCCTAATTTAAATACATTGATAATTCCTTATTTACTGTACAACACCGCGCATACTTTAAAACACAGAAGAACTTTAAAACCATTTTTAATTACTTTTTCTTTCAAAATTAATTATCAAAACCTTCGACTTAGCAATAATTTATACATTAATATTTCCCACAATTATTTAAAGTAGAGCTTTTTTGGCGTCATAGACCATAACTTCTTTAAAATAAAACGGAACTTGTAAACTTACTTACCTTTGTTCGTTTGCTAAAATATTTTGTTCAAAACAATCTGATTTAACACACGAATTTCTGATTGACAATATCTATGTATTTACTTTATACAGTTGATTTGAAAGGATAGAGAATGATCTACATACGAATAATTTCTAGCAGGCTATTAACAAACAAGTCGATGAGACTGGATATTCTTGACGCTATGTTTTTGACATTACATTGCCGTTAAGTATGCTCTGTGGTTACAAAATATATATTGATTTTAAAATGAAGTAAATTGATTTCTTGAAATCGAATGGAATGAAAATACACAAATCAACAAATTAAGTTTGTTTACACATGATATTGTGCTTATTTTGAATTTCCTGAAAGCAGTATATCGTCCACGAACCTTTCGAACTTTTGCCGGTTGAGGGCTGCAAAGTTAGACCTACATGTATGCTGGACACTTACGGCCTTTGAGCATTCAGGGGTCTTTACCGTGACAGCATCTGCTGCATCACAGGACCTCGGTTTATAGGTACCGGGGTATAAAATCCGAAGAAAAGACTTAACGTCCCTTCTTCGAGCATTCAGGGGTCTCTACCGTGACAGCAACTGCTGCATCACAGGATCTCGGTTTATAGGTATAAAATCCGAAGGAAAGACTTAACGTCCCTTCTTCGGATTCGAACCAACGACGTTAGGATCAAGTTCTTTCACCTAACGTTGTAAACAATGCTCCAATCAGGCGTCGAGACGTTAACACAGTGTATTAGCTGTATCAATCAATGGTGTTCTTTCTTATAATGCATAGGTTACAAAAAAATCAAATAAAGCCTTAATCCTTCTTGTGTAATATATTGAATTCTACTACGGTTATTGATGAGATCAAAGAAATGCCGCGAACATTATTCTCCGATAAATCACGAACGTCATCAAAAAATTATCAGATCAGAAACACGCATAAAACATGTGCAGTTGAAATGAACATTTGTCTTAAGAATGTCCCACTGTGGGACGGGGAGACCGGTCCTTCGGATGAGACATATAAACCGAGGTCCCATGTCGCAGAAGGTGCTGGCAAGAAAAAGATCCCTCACTGCTCAATGGCCCCGAATGCCGGGTATAGGACAAAATTTATAGCTCTCCACTGGCAAGTGGTGGCGTCTCCACCTCCACCTTGATGGTAAACAACATACAATCAATCACACAAGCACGCCTCCCGGGGTATTTTTTTTTCAAAATCTCCAACATTCTTAGATTTTATTCGGGATTAACCTTGAGTATAACACAAAATTGCATCGAGATCTGCTTCGTGACTTTCTACAATGTCATCGTTTTCAATGATGTCTGCCTATCTTCTTGAATTTCTTTTCGACGAAGCAAAACGTTAAGCCAGAATTTATAATATGAATCAACGTAACAGTTCTAAATTTCAACATCTAGGATTTCTTTTACGGTTTTGCTCTATTTTACAGCGAATATTACTACCGATGTTATTTAGTTTATAATTTGTAATTTATTTAATGTTGACATAAAAAGTCTGTGTCGAATTATAACCGCCCATATTTATTTTGTATATCATCAACACTACAACAGATAAAAATATGACTAATTTTGTCAGTTAGTCTTCCTCGGTTAAAGCTTGATAACCCATATAGTTCTAGCTTGTAGGAGGGGTGATCAAAAAGTTCGCGAACTATCCCTATATCTAAAAACCACAATACGGATTAGAAAAAAAAAATGGTACACACATAGCCATACA